ATTCCACTGCTCATGATATTCTTACCCTCAGAAGCCAAATCCTTTTTCAACAATCCTAGATAGATGCCTTACTACCTAAGTCCTCTGCAAAACTTGAACAACAAGTTTTTGCAAATCCCACCAAGGACAATGAGACTTACATTAACCTTCTGACCCAGATAACATTTCAGAAATGGCATGTTAATCTAAAAATTGTCATCAACAAAGACTATACCATTCATACAGTGGCTCTCATTGACTCCGGTGCTGATCTCAATTGTATCAATGAAGGACTTGTCCCTACAAAATACTTTGAGAAAACCAAAGAACGGCTTCAAGGTGCTAATGGTTCACGACTCACTGTTCAGTACAAGTTAACCAAAGCCCATGTTTGTAATCAGGGTCTTTGTATTAAAACACCTTTCATCATTGTCAAAGACCTCAATACCCCTGTTATTTTGGGAACTCCATTTATTTTTCTTCTTTACCCATTCAAAGTTGATAGCCAAGGCATTTCAACAAGTCTAGTTGGACAAGAAATTTGCTTTCCTTTTGCTTATCCTATAGACACCAAGGATCTCAATACCATTAAGGATTCCTATGTTACTCAAGTCCCTGCTGTCAACAGGATTGAAAGCAAAACAAAGCATTTAGACTTTCTCAAACAAGAACTAATCTTCAAACAGATTGATGAACGACTCAGTCAAAAAAGTCTCCAAGACTCTATTCAAAAGTTCAGATTAAGACTTGAAAGTCAGGTTTGCTCTGATCTCCCAAACGCTTTTTGGTACAAAAGACAACACATTGTTGAATTACCTTATGAAAAATCTTTCAATGAAAAGGATATCCCTACCAAAGCCCATCTTAGCCAAATGAGTCAAGAACTTCTTGATTACTGTATGAAGGAAGTACGAGAATTATTAAACAAATCCCTCATCCGAAAAAGCCGTTCCCCATGGAGCTGTGCCGCTTTCTATGTCCAAAAGAATGCTGAAATAGAAAGAGGTTTTCCCAGATTAGTTATCAATTACAAGCCCCTCAATGAAGTTCTTCAATGGATCAGGTATCCCCTGCCCAATAAAAAGGACCTAATCCAACGTCTCGTTCATGCAACCGTTTTTTCAAAGTTTGATCTCAAGTCAGGATTTTGGCAAATCCAAATTGCTGAAAAAGATAGATACAAAACAGCTTTCACGGTTCCTTTTAGCCATTACGAATGGAATGTGATGCCTTTCGGATTAAAAAATGCCCCTTCAGAATTCCAAAAAATTATGAATGATATTTTTATTCATCTTTCGAATTTTTCAATTGTTTATATTGATGATATACTAATATTTTCTTCTTCTATAGATGCTCATTGGAAACATCTCAATATATTTGCTCAAACCATCAAGCATAATGGATTAGTCCTTTCTTTATCAAAGTTAACTTTGTTTCAGACCAAGATTAGGTTCTTAGGTCTCCAGATCCACCAAGGAACTATCATCCCAATCAACAGATCCATCCAATTTGCTGATAAATTCCCTGATGAAATTAAAGACAAAACCTAGCTTCAAAGATTTTTAGGTGCCTAAATTATCTCTCTAAGTTTTTCAAGGATCTTTCTCTTCTTTGTGCTCCACTACGCCAAAGATTAAAAAAGTCCCCTCCCCCATGGTCCGATGAGCATACAAAAACAGTCAGAATCCTTAAAAGCAAAGCAAAAAACCTTCCTTGCCTATCTATTACTGATCCAGAAGCCTTCAAAATTGTGGAAACTGATGCATCTGAATAAGGATATGGAGGTATCCTAAAATAAAAAACAGGTGACAAGAAACAACTAGTTCAGTTCGCCTCTGGCATATGGAACCAAGCACAACAAAATTACTCTACAGTCAAAAAGGAAATTTTATCTATAGTTTTATGCATTTCAAAATTTCAAAGTGACTTACTAAATCAAAAATTTTTAGTTCGTGTTGATTGCCAATCTGCAAAAACTGTTTTAAAGAAAGATGTTCATGACATAGCCTCAAAACAAATTTTCGCCAGATGGCAAGCTATTCTTTCTGTATTTGACTTTGATATTGAATATATAATAGGAGAAAACAATTCTCTTCCTGATTTTCTCACCAGGGAATTTTTGCAGGGAAAAGCAGGAGCTTAAGGGCGGTTACTATGCCTCCCAAGATAAGTAGAGGAGCCTCAGTTGCAAGCACAAAACCCCACAAAACAAAAGATGTATATGCACAATCATCCTCTTCTCAGAACCCTTCCCAAAAAACCTGGTATGATAAAGTCGAGGAAGATGAAGAAGCTATGTGTGCTAGTCCATCTCCATTAATTACAAACCAATTTTCAGCCCTAACCACAATTCCCCAACATGTCATAGACATGTCCCCAATCCAGTATGACCCCATCCAAGCATACTTACAATCCCAACAACCAGTTTTTCCTCCCCTTCAAAAAACTTATGCTGCAATTTCTTCAGCATCAGATAAACAAATTTCCTCAAGATCTGTTTCACAGCAAGTGGTGGTCAACAATCCCACTATCAAAAAATCTCGTTATTTTCAAAAACCAAATTCATCAACCATTTGTGTGGTTGAAAAAGAACTTTTTAACCAAAACCCAATTTTACTTTCTCAAAATCATTTTGTCAAAGGTTTTCATTATCCAACATCAGATTTTCGGAAAACACAAAATTTTTATGAGTTTATTTTAGTAGACACTGATTCCATCATAATTCGAACTCATTCAAAACCAGGTGATGAGTCTTTCATTTCTCAAACCACATATACCATTCAAAAAGTCCTTACTCCGGCAGCCTGGGGTAAAAACATCAATGCTCCGAGGCAATTTTCTCAGCCTCACAACCCTCAAACTTTCAATTACTGGGACTATCAGGATGCCTGGTACAATACCTTTTATTTCTAAAATCAAGATTATAGCTATTCCTGGCTTATCCTTTTCCAAAAGAATTTCAATCTAAATGTCCCCAGATGGTTCATTGACTGGTGGCATATGTTTGGTCCCTGCCAAGAAATCATCCTTGAAACGGTGTCCAAGGGATTTTCAATTTTCAATGAAAAATTCCAAGCTCCTCCTAAGCTTTCCGAATTTCCCAAATCATTCTTATTTTTTGCAAATTTTGCATTGTCATGGATAGTTCTATGGCAATTCCAAATCCTTAAAACCCCTTCTAATCTTCCTCTTCTAGGAAGGATTTTCAAAGTCAAATGGTGGGACCAATTCTCTATCAAAGATGTTACTCCAAAAGCAATTTCTGAATGGTTCTCAAAGCACCTTGCAATATTACGTTCTGGCTTAGGAGAGTCTTCGGCTTTCCTCCTATCCAAAAGCCAGGCCCAAGCAAAGCTTTCTTCAGCAAAATCCCAAGATGAGTATAAAGCCTTCCTCATGGAAGCTTTAGCCCAAGTCAATCCCATAACCTTCTCAAAATTGGGCTCCAACAGAAGTGAAGGCTCAGGTTCTTTCCATGGTTCCCAAACAGATCTGGCCCAACCCAATGAAGATGACTGTTTTGGTATTTTTACCCAACAGCTCCAGTAAACAATATTCTCAAAAATCATCATTTCATTTCAAAAAAAAAAAAAAAAAAAGGCAAAATCTATAGTTTAAAATTTTATTCCACAATTCTCCATTTTCAGGCTTTTAGCACCTTTCGGTGTTCATGACAGACAAGCTTTTCAAAAAAGGAATCCAAGGCAAGTCAGTGGCCATCACCTCAATTCAGCCTTTCAGGTTTTGCACATGGCCTCCAGCATCATTCAGAAGAATACCCTTAAGATCTAATTATACGACTAATTGAAACAATAGTTATTTTAGGTAATTGTTTTTCTTTTAATTAATTATTAATTATGAAATGACTATATTGGATACTATTTTTTAAAAATAATAATAATAATTTTTTAAATCTGATTAAACTTTAACTATGTCCCTTTCCACCATTGTCGGTCCGTCACCATCACCCACCTCCTCCCCCAACCACACCACAACACTGCCACTTCCATCACCACAATACTGCCACCCACCACCACCACATACACCAATAATTATAAGGACGCTAATTAATTTCTAGATTTGGTAATTCTTAGTCAAAAGTAGCCATCAAATCTGTCTGGGTGGAGGTGGTGTGGTATAGGTGGTGGTGGTGGTGGAGGTGGTGTGGTGGGGGAGGTGGTGCCCGAGTAGACGTGACAGTGAAGGTGGGGTGATGGCAGTTCATTGTTAAATATATATATATATATATATATATATATATATATATATATATTAAGAATGTATCAAATATAGTCATTAATTTCATAATTAATGGCTAATTAAAATAATATTAATTTCCTAAAATAATTATTCTCCCCAATAGCCGTTGGATTAGATCCTAAGGCTATGAGTAAAAGTGAGTATATTGTTCCTGCTCAGCAATTGAACACTAGTGTGTGTGTGTGTGTGTGTGTGTGTGTGTGTGTATCTAATAAAAAAAATCTCTAATGAATAAATTATCTCTTTTGACGGAAAAAAATCCAAAAAAAAACATTTTTATTGAAGAAATTATCGATTTTGTCAAGATCAAAAATGAAAAAGAAAAAGAAGGATTCGAAAAAAATTATCTCTTCTAATAAGACGAAAAAATCAAAAAGCGAAGTTATTTCTATTAAATAAAAACAAAGGCCTTAGGAGTTCGTACAAGGGAGAATGTTACAAGTGGGATTTGTCCCATATCGGATTCGGATGAGAAATGTAATGGGTACGTATAAATGGATTGGGTATTAACCCACCTAATAATTTAACCTTTTAGATTGGAACGTGAAACACCCTACCCATTACAATAAAAATTTTCTAAATTTATTAATTTACGATTATAATACTCTAAATCTTTTTCAATCCAAAAATTAATAAGGAAAGCTTATGGCATTTGAACCATGGCTTTACATAAATAAACAAATAAAACTATTTTAGAGGTTTATTGAACTTCTCAAAGAGCTAAGCTTTTGAAATCTCAAAACTGTTGTAAATCTTCGCAGTAAAAAACACCAAAAAGGCATAATACTCTTTATTCAATTTTCTATGGAAGTCCACATAGCACCAGTTCTTATTTTACTTTCATCTATATTGTTATATATAGAGGCTCACACGAAACTGGAAATTCAATAGTGACCATCCAATGCTTTCTACCTTCTTGTCTTAATATCTTACTCACGAGTTGAAGGATGATAAGCAACAGGAATCATACACAAATCCCTTTCCCTACTAATTGCTGAACCAAATACCTCAGTCATGTCTAGATCTTCTGGCTTTTGTCCCTCAGGAAGTTTCCAGTCAAAGTGATACAATAAATTAGCAAGTGGAAGCTCAACATTAGCTATCCCGAACGACATGCCAGGACATATTCTCCTGCCAGCACCAAATGGTGTAAATTGGAAATGAGTCCCCTTGTAATCAACTGAATTGTCAAGGAATCTCTCTGGATGAAAGCTCTCTGGATCACTCCAATTTTCAGGATTTCTACAAATTGCCCATACATTGACAATGACTTTGGTTTTTGCAGGTATCTCATATCCATTGATTTCACATGTCTCTCTGCTCTCTCTTGGAATTAACAGAGGGCTAGGAGGGTGTAACCTTAGAGTTTCTTTGATAACTAACTTCAAGTAACTCAATCCATGGATGTCATCTTCATTTACAATATCTCCTTTTTTACTTAAAACTTGTCTCACCTCAGCTTGTGCCTTTTCCATAACTTTTGGATTTTTCAGCAATTCTGACATTGCCCAGATTACAGTTGAGGATGATGTCTCAATCCCTCCAGTGAATACGTCCTGAAAGAGCATTGAAATTGAGTTAGAATTAAGAGTATAGAATATTGTAAAAGTAAATATTTGTGGAAGCTAATTCATTGATAGAATTGGCAGAAAGTAAATGTACTAACCATGAGAACTGACGTGAGTGTCGTCATAGTTAAGGGGATATTAAGGTTACCCTTCTCCTGAACTTTTAAAAGTACATCTATCAAGTCTTCACAATCAACTTCACCATCTCTAGCTTTATGTTCATCAATAATGTTAGTAAATATCTGATCAATTTTTCGATGAATCTCCTCAGCTCTAGGCTTTAGCCCACTTATCAAACCAAGTATTTTAACTGAAGGAAAGAGATCAGCAACATTGAAACCTCCTGCTACCTCCATAGTATCCCTAATAAGTGATAAGAATTCTTCTTTCCCATGGAATTTCTTACCAATGGCCACCTTAGCAACAACGTTGTATGTCATGGAGAAAACTTTTTCAGTGAGATTTATGAGAGATCCAGCTGTATTATGGGTCAAAATAGATTTGATCAAATTCGAGGCCTCTTCTTCCCTGATGGGTCGGAATGATTGGACACGCTTGGCACTTAAAAGCTCCAGTATGCAAACTTTTCGAAGTTGTCTCCAGTGATCCCCATAAGGCGCGAAGGCTATGTCACTCCCAGATATGATATTCATAGCAAAAATAAAAGGTCTGCTAGCAAAGATGATGTCATGTGTTTTCATCACCTCTTTGGCAAATTCTGCTGAAGTAATCACAACAATAGGAAGTTGTCCGAGTTGCAGGTGCATCAGAGGTCCATATTTCATGGCCAAATCTCTTAGGCGGTGATGGGGTAGAGATCCGACAAATTGATGAATGTTACCTATTAGAGGTAGCTTCCATGGCCCAGGAGGCAGTTTTGGAGATGAACTGATCTTGGTTTTCAGTACCATGAACAGAAACAGCAGGAATGTGAATAGAATTGGGAAGAACAGGATTGGGAACTCCATCGTCATTTGTCTAGATTTATGCTTGCTTGCTGTGGCATATATAAGGTAATTAATTTAGATTAATTTAGTAGTTTGACAAATAATCATATAGTTTGGATAACATAAAATATAAAGCTTTGAATCTTATTTGAATGTGGATCGACTCTTTGTTGTCAATTAGAACTGAAACCTCATAATTTCATCAAACAGGCCCAAGCCAAATAAGTCATAAATCCCTAATACATCAACTGGTATGGATAGATATGTGTATAAACGGTCAGGCTTCTAAGTTTTTCGGTTAATAGATCACAAAACATCCAAGCTTGCAATTGGAGAGGGAAGGGCTACCAGAGCATCTGACCTCACTTAAATTTATCTTTAATACTAGCCCCCATTGACAATTCCTGAATTCGCCATTGCCTTTATAGTATGCAAATAGGGTATATAACTACTTATAAGTTCTTAAAAGTTCCTAATCTTTAACTTTTTTGCGAACAAGGACATATTGTCAGTAGAATAATTACAAGACTAAAGTTTCCTATTTGAAAAAAAAGAAAGATATAAAAAAAATAAAAATAAAAAATAAAAAAACAAAATTGATGTAAAATAATTAAAGTATTCTCAACAAAAGAGAGAATAAATGGTGTTTTTATATATAATGGTATAAAGGCATTCTAGGGAGACCAAAAGAGCAGCTTAGTAGTATTGTATCAAAATAGCTGGTTGGAGAAGGTAGGCGAAATGAGTGAAAATGCCTTCTTTTTTGCCTAACGCGGGAATCCCCCGAAGTGTCTCCTTACCTATGTCATTAAGGAGTAATTTAATTATTGACGTCAAGTCGGAGCAGGGCTTGGCAGCCTGATAAGCATCCCCGATTAAAAGCATAACTATTATATTTAACAGCGAAAAGCAACCCTCCGTATTCATGTTACCAAGAAAACAAGGTGGATGAATCGCATTGCAAGTTTTCTAATTACATGTAATATAAAAATGATTTCTAAACCATGAAATGTTATATGAAAATTAGGGTGAAAATGGGGAAGAGAGTTATTACTTAAGCTCCATGAATTGTTATGACAAACACTCGCAAACCACAAACATAATCAAGAGTTGACAGAAACTCCTACCACAAAAAAACACGTACTAAGATATAAGATATAACATTGTTTATGCATATAACCTACATCCACAGTCGGCATTAGCAAATAGTATTCGCCATGCGAATAATAAGTCCTATTGCTGTTTACTTGAGACATAATAATAATATAAAAAAAGAGTAATGATATTATGTTCGATTGTTTAGGGCTTAATAGAGCCTAAAGTCTTTATTATTTTTTTTACACGTTTATTGACTATTCAATGTGTCTCTCTGTAATAAATACTTACATTTTGCATGTTAAGAAAATCATTTGACTGATTCAAAATTTACCACTAACCCAAAAAAAAAAAAAAAAAAAAAAAAGAAAGCAAAAAAACTTCTAATTAAAGTGTCAATTCATATGCCTTTCTTATGTCAAATTTGGATATGCTCTATCTAATTATATTTACTTGCTCTAAATTAATAACATATACCAATAACTTTTTCTATAAAAAGTAATTATAATGAGATCTACATATATCAAATGATATCTTAAATACAATTTATTATTGAGCGAAAAGTTATAAATCAAATATTTTTGTAATAAAAAAAAAATAACCGAAGTACACACTATTTATTATTAAAAAATAGATTACACAATTAATTTTTCAGAAAAGTATATAGTATAATTACAAAATTTTAAAAAATTTAATATAGTATAATTACAATTTTTTTAAAATAATTGGTCATTAAATAATAAACTAAAAATAAGAATAAGAAAAACTAAAGAATTAGATAATGAAATATACCAATTATTTAACCTTCTAGAAAAAATATACTATTCATGACAGATAATTGTGCCATCTCCTTTTTTTTCCTAAAACAAAAAGGCGATGCGTCAAATTCTAATATAATTTCTCTAAATACTACTAAAACATTCATAGGTTTTCTAAAGAAAAAATTATTATAAATATATTTTTTAACTTTTCGCTTAAATTATAACTTGTATCAAGTCAATTTTTTTTAATATGAACATATCTCATTTTTTTTTTTGTTAAAATAAACAGATCTCATTTGTTTATGATTCAAGTATAGTTTATTTTGTACCTTTTTGTTTTTTTGCCAATTAGATGAGGGCGCGTGCAAATTTGACATCAAAAGAAAAAATAAATTCATGCTTAAGCATTCTTTTATTGTTAGTGGCATCAAATCTAAATTTTAAAAAGTTAAAAAAAAAAATTCTTAACATGTAAAATGTGAATAGTTATTACGTTGAATAATTCATACACATGTTGAAAAAAGAGTAATGCTATTGCGAGACTCTCGCAGTAGCACTCACGCGCTCTTCATGTTTAGCCGCATGAGGTCTTATTCTTTGGATTCGGGAGCACTAAGGAAATTGAAGTTTCTCTCTCTTCTCATAACGTTTTCTCTGTTAACCCTTAACCCAACTTTATCCTTCTCTTGTTTTACCCTCAACTCACTTCCTCTTAGCTGAAAATTTTGAGAGAATTAATCCATCAGGCACAAGCTGAAGGATGGCACTTCTGGGTTCAAAACCCACTTCCAATCTCGATCCATCGCAGCCCAATTGCCCTTCCCGTCACTGTCACCTTCACCGTCGTCCGGTACAGGATAACAAATTCTTTCTCCTCTCTCTTTCTTTCTCTTTGTTTTGCTTTTTGTTTTAATCAGTCACCTATCTTTGGGTAATTATATTTTTGGCCTCCCTTTCTCCTGTCTATGAACAGCCACTAACCACCACCATCCTCACCCGATCACCCCAAACCAGCCACAATCTCCACCCCGACAACCACCACAATCCAAACCCACAAAAAAAATCAATAATCAAAATAAAAAAAAAAAACCACCGCAACAAATCAACACCACCATTGCAAACATGGATTCTTTTCCCCGATCTAACAATTTTAAAGTAGAAGTAGATTTTTTTTCTTCAATCAATTTGGTTTGAATCTTTTTTTTTTTTTTTTTCCTCTGAGCAACAAAAGAAGACGGGTGCAAAACAGAAAGTTGGGTTAAGGGTTATCGGGGAGAGAGAGTTGAGTTAAGGGTTAACAGATCAGTTTCTAAAAAAATCGACCAGAGTATCATTGCTCATAAATAAATGCATGCATATGTATGTCCAGAGAGACACTTACAGAGTTGTGGATATAGCTCTAACGAGTTACAGCTCTAGTTCCCACGTCTCTTTAGCGTAAGTTGAACGAGAAACAATAAAAAGGGAAGCAGAGAACAAAGCCTGTGAATTAGAGAGAAATTCGTCCTGTTTTTATAGAGAAAGTACAAATTATTCGAAAAAAAAATAAAAAATAAAAAATAAAAAAAAAGGAAACAAATGATTAGTCTTCGTTTTACTTTTTTTGGATGATAAACCAAACAAATTGAATACAACCAAAAGGTGAAGAAACAAAACAAAATGCACGAAATATTAAGGAAAAATTACATATAAATGGAGTTAAAGTTTCATATTTACTTAGAGGCTGAGTCAAAGTTCCATATTTCTCTAAAATGGATTGCTGAGGTGGCACATGGTTTTTTACCGTTTAGAAATTGTGATGCCTAAAATACCCTTCCGCGAAGGTACTACTTTTTCTTCGAACGTACTACTTTTTTGAACTGAAGGTACTACTTTTTGGCGTCCAGGTACCATGTTTTTTAAACACTCGCGAAGGTACTACTTTTTCTCCGAATGTACTACTTTTTTGAACTGAAGGTATTACTTTTTTGAACTGAAGGTACTACTTTTTTATTAGGGAAGGGCATTTTAGGCACCACAATTTTTTAAACAGTAAAAAATCATGTGCTACCTCAGCAATCCATTTTAGAGAAATATGGAACTTTGATTCAGTCTCTAAGTAAATATGAAACTTTGACTCCATTTATATGTAATTTTCCCAAATATTAATATCTTACTTTTGATCCGCAGACCATGCACCAAATTCTATCCACCCATCAAATTGACCGCATTAGGACAATAAATTAGTCTTAGGTACCCAAAAAAAACAAACAATAAATTTGTCCTGCTGTTCCCAAGTCCAGTGTATTCACGTAAACCTTCAAACTATATTACTATGGTCCCCAAAAAATTCAGACTGGACTCTGTAGTAGTCTCATTAAGCCGTCAGTCATATATCCCCCTTGAAATATAAAAATTACAAATAATCCCCTCAACTAACTTTTTTAGGTGCAAATTTCTCACTCCGGCAGCCGTAGGTTGAATTTTGATTGTTAAAATGGCACGTGACAACCCAATTTAAATTAAATAACCATAAAGCCGCCCTTATGAAAATTAAAAGATCTAATTGCCCTTCTTATAATCTTTAGAACCCCAACCAAACATGCCCTATATGTATATATGTCCCATAAATTCTTAGCCTTGAACGGAACAGTAAACTTCAAAGACCAAGCCAGTGAGCTTCGGAGATCAAACCAACAAATTGTATAAGATGCTAAAAGGAGAAACAAAATTGGGAAGATGAAATATATATTTGGATGAATGAGTATTAAAATAATATCAAAGATGAGGTTTTTTTTTTCAACACTAAAGAGGTTTTTAATTAAAACGAAGGTGTTATTATTAGAGAAAATTGATGAGGTGACTCCTTTCTCACAGGCTCTCCCTCGCAAAAGATCTAAGTATGAGGGGCAACCAAACATTGAACTTTTACTGGATGAACAAATAACTCTAGTGTACTTTTCTTGCCCTTACTCTTATTTGATTCTAAACTTCATCATGGACAGGGGCTATCTGCACCTATATAGCATTGCCTTCTATTTTTCTAGAATAAAGAACAGTGACAACTGGCCGGAAAAGGTTAAGTACAACAATTCAACCGGCGAGAAGCTATGAGCATTAACGACTATACCGCATAAATCAAACCGACCATCAGAAAGCTTCAAACTCAATGACCACCGGCCCAACCAAAGATGAAAACGTACAAGTGCAGAGCTACAATGACCCATCCGTTCTGGCGAGCTCCGAGCAGCAGTGTCCATTGAAATTGGATCGGTGAGCTCCGAACCGAAGCTGCCAAGACAAGATAATTAAGAAAAATGGTCTGGAGAGGTGTTTCAACTGAACTAGAGTTCCATTGAAGACCCAACTGAGAGCTCTATATAGAGGGCTTGAGAAGCGACCAAACCTGAAGAGCATCAACGTTCAATCCATTGGAAAAGCTTCAGCGATTCTGAACCGTGAGTTTCAGACAAACCCAGAAACTTCAGCGATGAGCTCCGGCGAGCCACAGTTTCAAACGACCTAGATCGAAGTCTCAAAGAGCTTCAGTGACCCAACAGTTCCGTGAGTGCCATACGACGCGAATGAATGAATGGAAGAGACGACGGTAAAAAATAAAATTTGGAAAAAGAAAATGAAAAACAGAATGAATGGAAGAGAGAAGCAGTTAATGGTGATAAGGTTGGTGATGTGTCGAATTGTTAGTGGTTCTTCAGATTACAAGGGGCCACATCAATTAATCAACTTTAAAAGCATGTTTAAAGAGTTAAATGACCACGTTTTACTAAAGGGCAAAAATGACTTTATCAAATTCCGGCCATGGAAACTAACCGGATATGTCTTCCCGGTCCTAAATTGCAACATTTTCATAATTTGAGGGAATTATTTGTAGTTTCAGGAGGTGAGTTGCACAAGGGGTGTCCTTCAAGGGGTTTCTTGTACTTATCTAATATAATATTATATTTACTATATGATAAAATAATAATATACCATATTACTTTTCTTTGTTTTAAAAAAGCAAAGTGAATAAAAAGTACTGAAAACCTCAAATGTCAACCTAGGAAGAATATATAAAAAAAAAAAAAAAAGGAATAGCTTGGTACCATCTAAATTTTCTTTGCTTTTGTAGTTCTTATTGGATCCTTTTAATTTATTTATTTACATATGTATGTCATTTTTAACTAAATATACATATGAAATAAAATAAAATAAAAATACCTATTTTAATATATCAATGTTTGACTAGATATATTTTCGTATCCATCTAATAAATAATAGAATACTTTTGACTTATAATTTTTTTGCATTAGATCTTTTCATATATGACTTAAAAAAATTAAGGTTTAATTCAGTTAAATTTCTTGTGATTTGTCGAATTTTCAAAGAGACCCTTCACATTTGTAAAAATTTGACTGACAATATTAAAAGAGGGAATGAAATGTCTATTTTACCCTCTTTTATATATATATATATATATATATGCCGCACCTGCACTGAAGCGTATGAAGCTTTGTTTCCTTCTCACTCAAGCTTGCTCCACTGATTTATCATCCATGCATTCAATGATCATATATACATATGGATCAAAGCACTGATTTCTCCAAAATAAATTCAAGCTCGCGTTGTCACTTATCTCTTTCTTGCACTCATGGGTGAGTGGAAAAGTAACCTCCAAGGAAGGCGACGAATGATCACTGTCCTCCCTTAGTCGTTGGGTCGCTAAGCACATCGATACAATGTCGACCTAATGGTGGTCGCCATTATAGAATTGACAAGGGTCACCATATAGGCGACCCACTTTGGCTGCCTTAACGCGACCACGCTTGGGTCGCCGGAAAAATGGAGAACGACGACCTAGGACTATGTGTTTCTCTTACCCGAGTTGGTATTCTCAATTTCTTTTTATATGTACTGGATGTCCTGCTGGTTGTTGTATCTTTTACCATCTTATTTACTCTTAAACTTTAATAAAGGAAATTTACCTGACATTATAACATAGTTTAAACAGGTATATCAATTGCCTTCTCAAACCTTGATGGTGTTATTTTATTTAAATAATGTGAAATTCAGTTTATTTATTTCAATTAATCCCTTCAAGTATGTGTTTAAAGATCAAGTTTGTTAAAATAACTTAAAAGTGACTAACTAAATTTTTAAATCCATATAATTAAGGTCAAGTTGATATTCATGATATATTTAAAAATTCATGAGATTATCACATGTTTTTCCTGTAAGAGATAGTGATTTTGGTTGTTCTTTTATGAATGATATCAATGGTAATTTGGATGCAAATTTATCTTGAGCACTTCCATCCTGCGCAGGGAGGATGAACTTCATCCTCCCTGCTTACGTGGCCGTATGTTGTTACGCCACGTGTCTAATAATAAAAATGGGTTAAACCCATTTTTTCGGGTTAGACCCGCTTCCCCTGTCAGTCTCTTCTCTCTCTCCAAATGCAGAAGACCCAAATTTTCATTGCCTCAGCCTGCGCCTTTCCATTATCACTATAATTAAATTAAGCTGAATTTGATGTCTTCCTCAGTTCTGGGTTGGGCATTTGATTATCAAGTTCATCAATTTGATGCCTTCCTCAGTTCCGACGGCGGCGCACCACCTGTCCCACCTTTGTTTTTTTGGGCGAAGTTTCTTGTTTTTGGTTGAGTTTTAGATTGTTAACAGTTTTCAATCTATTGAAATCCTTTGCGTTCATTTCTTTTTTCTTTTTCTTTTTTTCTCTATCTGAGATTAGTGTTTCTAATGTTTTTAGATCGTCAGCTGCCAAGCAAAACTCTCCGATCTCTATGACTTACACAACCCTTTTGCGCATTTGTCTTCTTCAATCTTTCTCTGTTGTGTTTCTTCACTGGTTCTACATCTTTTCATGAACCCACTTCTATAAACTCAAGTTTTGATTTATAATCCCTAAAAACCCAATTCACAATCTTCCCCAAAAATCCTCTTGTTCTTGCATACCCATCAATCGAATTGAAAAGAAGAAAATATTTCTTTTGTGTGTATATCACACCCCTGATTATATAATTTGCAAGGAAGAAGAAAGCAATGTCGTCTCTGCAACAGGTTAGGAGAGGCACAGTTTGGTAAACGCGACTCACCCCAACTCGTCCGAGTCCCGTCTCTGCTAAACCGAGTCAGGTTATTGGATTTCTCTCTCTCTCAAAATCTGAACAGCCCGAACCATCACCGCTCGCCGTGGGCATAGTCAGAGAGGACCGCGACGGTGTTCTTGAGAGCCATGGTGTAGGCCGAGTGTACCACCGCGAAGGCGTTGAGGATGATGCCGGTGATGTAATGGGAGGAGGAGGCCGCAAATAGAGAGATAGAGAAGAGAGGAAGCGGGTTTTACCCGCAAAAAACCCATTTTTGATATTGGACACATGTCATAACCACATGTGGCCACGTCATCAGGGAGGATGCGCAGGATGGAAGTATTTTCCATTTATCTTTCTACTTCTTCATGTCTGTTAGGCATGGGGAAATTTCTGTGACAATGTATAACTTCGGATATCCTAGAGTCGGAAACAAAAAATTTGCAGAATTTTATAACCAGGTAAATTACTGTCGCAATTTTAGTTTTTATGTATGAAGCTTTGATGTTGATGATGCATTGGGAAAAGATCCTCTCTTTTCTACATTCTGCCCCTCGTATAAAAAGGCACAAGAATAAATATGTTCTAGTATTTGAAGGGTATAGTTTTATTTTTCTTTCCCTAAATCATAATTAAGGGAACAATTTTGGTTCCGGTAGAGGCCTGGGTCGCCATTAAGACTGGATTACAGATTGCCGCGGGCGACCTGGGTGAAGCAGAAGAAGGTACGGACCGTCACGGTCACTGCCGGCGTTTATTAGAGCAGCAAGTCACTACTTTAAGCCACGACTAGACACTGCTCCGACGATTACACCAGTGATGAGGGCTGTCGGTCAGTGCAATCTTAGCTGGTGAAACTCTTAATGATCTACCATGGCGCATGAACTTTTGCAAAAATAATATTCGAGTTCAAATTGAACTGGAATGGTTGACACCTCAACCTAAGTCTAACTTTAATTAAGTTTGGATTAAGAATTTTTGACCTAATAAGTCTAACCCTAATTGTAAACATAATTGTTCAAGTTTATACAAAATCGAGCTGGGACTTGAGTTGGGTTTGAGTTGGCATACCCAAGTTACATCTCCTACCACAAAAGGTCAATTATTAATTTTTTTAATATTAAAAAATTATTCATGAATGTGGTTCATTATTGGTTATATATTCATACATTGAGTTTTTGATATGTTAACATGAGATAAATATTGTTTTGAATTCCACTAGAGGTGAATTACATGCCTAAATGAGCTTTTTTTATACGCAGAAGATTGATTATGGTCCGAAGCTGGTCATAAAAAGTTGGACAACTTTTATTTGTAAACTGTAACATACACCCTAATCCTTAGAGATGAAGTGGTATGTCTCAATTGTTGGGATAGTTGACTTTAAATAGTATATAATGGAGCTAGGAATATATAAAAAGATGATGTCATAACTCATAAGATCACCAAACTACTATCATTTGTAAGATAATTATTTTGTAATTGATTAATTTCGTTGTCAAAATAAGTCCGATCGAATTGTAATTTTTCGGTTTAAAATTTCAAGATTGAAAATTAGATGCGAATTTGAAAAAATTCAAATGTTCATAATACACTCCGGAATGATGAGAACAGTGTTTTAGAATGTTTTGTGAGTGTATGAGAATACTTGGGAAGTTTTTAAAAGAGAAAATACATTCTGCCCAATTTAAACTGGTTCAACAAATACAAAATTAGCTTAATTTTATTTTAATTAAACATGATTTATATATGAATATTTTATAAAGTGATTTATTTTGTGAAGTTTAGGTGTCGGGTTAAAGTTTATAGATTAATTGTAGCAGCCAAGTGAGTGAAGAAAGAAAGAAATAATAATAATAATAATAATAATAAAACAAATACATAAGGATGAACATGGGTTAGGCGTGGGTGATATTGTGCTTGTGTGGGTGGATTGAATGTAATGGAAGTATGTTTTAGTGATGATGTTTTACATATAAAACATATATGTGTTGTATTTAAGTATTGTTAGCTTATTGAAAAAAAAAAGAAAAAAAAAAAGACAACATTGACAAGTCCTTTGTCTTTTAGTAATAAACTCCAGGCATGTGCTTGTGATTAGCTAAATAAGGAAGTTGAATGAATTAATTTAAAGAGGTGACATGTGTGGGATTTGTATGTGTTTGTTGGGTGTACGTGTAGTGGATATATACTAATACCTTTAGTGTGTGTGTATATATATATATATATATATATATATATATATTTATTGTAAATGATTAGATTGGAAAGTTTCCACAAGCTTCTCTTGGGAGCTTCACGTGTCGGCTGGACAAAGTAAAGTTAAAAAAAAAAAATGGCCTCTTTAGCTACTGTAGTGATCACACAAAATAAAACAAAAGCAGCGAGATAAGAGGGGCAGGATTAGAGAGGAGAGAAAGGGACAAGAGGAGGAGAGGAAGAATTGGTGACTGTTTGTACAATAACAGTGAGGTAAGGAAGTGTATATCAATTAAATATTGTTTATTTTGGCATAGATAATATCTATTTACTTATTTTTGAAATTGTTCAAAGGCTGTCTTGGGTGAATTGATATCATGGTTATTTTAATTGAACTTTCAAGTGGAAAACTGATGTAAAGG